GGGGTGGAGGAGGGTGGAGTTATACTTTATACTTCTATCCCCTTTCTCCCCCTTCAACCCTCCACTTTCTCCCTACCCACATGGTATCACTACTCCCATTACTGTTCCTGGGGGATTCATCTGTCCTGGATTCTGTGTGTCTAGGACTCTTCTCTGTACCACTGTACATGCTCTGGTCTAGCCAGATTTGTAAGGTAGATCTAGAGTCATGATGCGGGGGAAAGGGGAGGGTAGGAAGTGTTAAAGGGCTAGAGGAATGTTGTGTTTCATCAGTGCTATTGTGCACCCTGACTCATCTCTTCCTTGTGACCCTTCTGTGAGGGGAAGTCCTATTGTCCACTCTGACCCTACTCATTTGCATCAGTATGATTGTTTGGGGTTTCTGATGCCTGATACCTGATTACACAGGCTGATGTGCTTCATCCATGTGGGCTTTTTTGCTCCCTGGCTAGATGGTCGTGTGTTTAACTTAAAGCATTTAAGACCTTAGATGCTATATCTTGTAATAGCCAGACACTATCAGCTTGCTTTACCATATTTGCTTATGCACCCTTTTTGTCTTCAGCAATGTGTTGCAAAGGTGAGCATCACAGAGTGCCACGTTATTAGAACAAAGTGTTCTTGCATTGAGGGAGTACTTGAGTAGAGGCCCAATGTCCGTCTGCTCCCTTAATACTTAACATATAAATGTATATGTACATAGATCTATATTCTTTTGTTTATAAAATATTTACATATGTACATGCCTGTATTTATACCTCTATAAATGTCATTTGCCTCCTAGTTCTTTCCTCTATTTCCTTTTTATTTCCTCCCCCTCCACCTCCCACATCACTATCATTCAGCTCTCAGTGATTCCTTTTGACTATATTGCCCTTGATCATACCCCACCACAGCCTCCACCATTTCAGATAGAGATTTGGAATATCCTCTTCCAATAATCCTGGGCTTTGTCTCCCTCTGCTCCTGTTTCAAAGACAGCTCTTCCTTAAAGCCATGGAAGTGTTAACAAAAACTGACCAGTCCCTTCTATTAGAGTTACACATGACCTATTTTCATAATCTCACCCAATCATTTGGTAGGAGTTACAGTCTTGGGTAGAAAAGCCATATTAAAAAACTTTACTCCAAAAATAAATAAATGAATAAATAAAAAGAAACTTTACCACACAAATGAAGCTCTACTAGTCTTTGCAATTTGTCTCCTTGCTGGGACCCTCTTTCATCACTTAGGCTTGCACTGAGCTCAACGGTCAGCACAAGGTGAAATTATAAGGTTTGGGGGTTAATTTTTGAGAATGTATCTTGCACTAGCTTTCTCAATTCCTCCATATACGTGGTGCTCTTCAAAGCCTGAATTTCCAGCAGAAACTTTCCCTGTCCCCTCTGCCTAACTTTGAAGGACTAGAATAAGTGAAGTGGATGGGTCGTGAAAGAGAGACTGTCAGGGAGCTGCATTGGAATAGTGGCTGCAACCATGGGCTCAAATATAACAATGGTCGTGAGCAGGAGGCAGGACCAGGGATTGTTTGGTTTGGTTGTGCATCGGGGTGCTATAAATTGGAACGGACTCCAGAGCCCCCAACGGCAGCAACAATGATTGTATTCCTTACTGACACTCTTTAACAAAGCTTCAGTGTAGCTAGCCTGCCCTCTCTGCCCTGCTTGATATCCCAGGTAGTCTGAACCAAGATGATTGCCTTGCTTTAGTCTTTCAGACATCCCTTAGCAGATTAAAAGCAGAGGTACTCAACAATATATGAACACAGTTTGCTCCATTCTGTCTAGTGCCTGTGATTGGGCTCCCTCTGTAGGGTGTATGTGGTGTTAAGGTAGCCACATGCAGCCATGAAAGAGTTGGGGCAGAGTGCAGTGAAAAGTTTTCCTGTCATGTCTGCAAAATCATTGTGGAGGATCTCTCTGGCTTCCTCCAGCTTCAGTAGGGAGTAGAATCCAACTTCAGACCAACACAAGGCCAATTGCCCTAAGATAGAGGTGAGATGTGCCTCCACCCTCCGGCCTTCTTTAAATCTACTCTGACACCAACTCTTTTTCCAGGGCACTCTACCCCTCGGCTAGATTTGATAATCCGTGTGGCAATGGCCCCAAAGAACTCCCAGACAGAGCACACCACACCATTATGGGGAGTTATTATGATAGTTAACAGTTTACTACAAGTCAGGATTATAAAATATTAAGGGTATGTTCTTTGGTGCACATCAGTGCCTCTTCCTGGATGTCTGCCAAGTCTCTCTCTTGTTGTCACCCTCTCAGTCATGCAGTTCGTTGGTCTCTGCCTCCACGGACTAGGGAGTCCACCTCATTGTTTCACAGTCTGAGGGCCACAGCCTACCCACTGTCTTTGCATGGCTCCTTTGCTCTCTCCCATGATCTTTATGCTGCAGCCTCTTGTGCCTCTGGACTTCACCTCCACCACTTTAGGCAGGGGTCTTGAATGTGCTCCACAGGTAGCCCTTCTTCCTTGATGGCCCCAGGACTCTCTCCTCCTGCTGTTGAGATGCCTCATTCTTATAGCCAGGGAATGGAAGACTGACCAATCTCAGGGTTAGAGTCCTCTAAACCTTATTTGCATGGTCCCTCCTGACCATTTGATGGGAGTTATAGAGAAGAAATGGATAAAAGAACCTTGCGGTTGTGATTGCTAGGTACAGTCCAGTCAGTTCCAACTCATGGTGACCCCAGGTGCAGCAGAATGAAGCACCACTTGGTCCTGAGACTCCTCATGTTGTTCCCATGTTTGAATCCATCTTATCTTCCTCTTTTTCACGGTCCTTCTTCTTTACTAAGCATGCAGGCCTTTTCCAGGCACTGGTCTCTCCTGATAGCGTGTCCAAAGTATGTGAGGTGAAGTCTTGCTATCTGAGTTAGTTAGTTTATTGTGCCAACCTGGCCAATAAACACATGTGGGATTAATTCAAGGGCAGAGGGATAAATGGCTCAGTGAGCCTCGCCTTTCGAGTTCTCGGGTCTCTTGCTTTGTGATGGTCGCACCAGGGTACAGCTGCCTTAGCAGTTCTCTGCTTCAGCTTTCAAGACTGACTTCCTACAAGACATCCCCAAGGAGAAGCCACATGGACCTACCCTAATGCAGCCCTGGGTGCTGGAGCAGTCGTGTGGAGACCCCTGCCAGTGCTGACATGTTTACACGTTCACTGACTTGGCTTTCCTCCTACAGTCGGCACCATTGAGTCTGCTTTGTGAGATGGAGGAGGACTTTGTGGACTGGTGTTGGACATATGGGTTAATGGGTGCATATTGGACTTGTGGGCTTGGGCAGCCCTGGGTTAGGGTGTTTTCTTGATGCACAGTTAACCTTTATATAAAACTCTTTTACATGCGTTTCTGTGGATTTGTTTCTCTATAGTACCCAGACTAATACACCACCCTTGCCCCTACGAAGTACTCTGGTTGTGCTTCTTCCAGGACAGAGTTTTTGTCCTTTGGCAGTCCATGGTATGTTCCATATTATTCACCAGTACCATGATTCCAACACATAGATTCATCTTTGGTCTTCCTTACTCAGTGTCCCACTTCCACATGCATATGAGGCCATGGAAGAGAACACGGCTTGGAACTGGCACCCTTTACTCCTCAAAGAAACATCTTTGCTTCTCAACATTTTAAAGAGGTGTTGTAACAGCAGCTTGACCCAATGCAATCTGTCGTTTTATGTTTGATCTCTTGACTGCTGCTGCCATGAGCATTGACTGGAAATCCAAGCAAGACCAAATCCTTGACAACTTCGATCTTTTCTCCATTTATCATGATACTGCCCACTGGTCCAGCTGCGAGGATTTGGGTCCTCTTTCCATTGAATTGTGGTCTATACTGAAGACCACAATCCTTAACCTTCACCAGCCAGTGCTTCAAGTCTGCCTGCTTCTCTGCAAGCAAGGTTTATCATCTGCATATTGAAGGTTATTAATGGTCCTTTCTCTAAGCCTGCTGTATATTTGCTCAGTGTACAGATTGAATAAGTATGGTGAGAGGCTAAAACTCTGATGCACACTTTTCTTGATTTTAAACCATCTAATATTATGTGCCTGAGTCTTAAGTAGTTATTTTCCCCTCGCCACACTGCCTTTTTCTTGATTCATCATTCACTTATTGCCATACCTTTTGACAGGTGTCCAGAGTTCTGATACCATAGATTCTTCTGCCAGTTTCTGCTGGGTTTTGTGTGTCTGTGAGGATTTCTGGGCATGTATTTGTGAGGTGACGGTAGTGTGAAGCGGCCATCATCTGTATCTAGACCCCTAACATGCTATCTTTCACTCACTCAAAGGTTTGTTCCCTCACACTTATTTAGCTTCAGATTTCCAAATAATTCCTTTCATTATCCACCTGTGTTTTTAAACACATAGTCGCTTGCTCATTTTTATCCCCCCTTCTTAAGAAATTCACCAGATGAATCACATTTTCATGTTATCTCTGATCACCTCCCTCTCCTATACAACAGCAAAACTGAAAGAATTTAAGTCAGCGGTTCTCATCCTGTGGGTCGCAACCCCTTTGGGGGTTGAATGACCCTTTCACAGGGGTTGCCTGATTCATAACAGTAGCAAAATGACAGTTATGAAGTAGCAATGAAAATAATTTTATGGTTGGGGGTCACCGCACCATGAAGAACTGTGTTAAAGGTTCGTGGCATTAGGAAGGTTGAGAACCGCTGCTCTAAGTGAATAAAAGCCGAGAGCAAATAGCATCCTCAGAAGCCAGGGTGTCTATGGAGCTCCTTTCAGAGAAAGGCTGACACCACCACTGGCACCTGCCAATGACGGCCCTGCAATGCCATCTTCTGTTTGTTTCATTACAAATCAGTCAGAGCTTCCTCCCTGCATTCCACTTCACTCCCTGCATGTAATCATTGCCAAGTAAAATTTCTGCATAAATGCATAATAACGAACTCACTATTTACTCCAATAAGTTTCTACTAACTGTTTTAAATGCAAAATTGTTTTTTCTTTTTCTGATACTCAGAGTTGCAGTTATGGATAAAGTTACAGAATTTGTGCTAATACTGGGAAAAATTCTAGTTACTGGCAGTATAGGTAAGTAATAATAATGAAAATGGAGATAAAATTAAAGTGGAAGTAAAAATGTTAACAGTTCGAAAATGGCTCGACTCAAAGAGCTATCCTCCTTAGCAAATGTATAATGCGCATGCTTTGAATTTTAATGTAGGCGTCCTGGCCTTCCTATTCTTCACACAAAGAGTTCCAGTGATTATAAAAGGACCGACATCTTTAAATTATTACTGGGCACCTCTGCTGGTAAGAATGAACATTATTGGCTCTATGACTTATCAGAGATGGAAAAATAAAACACTAAAAGGAAAAAGAGAAAATGGATGAATAACTGTAAGAAATATTCCCATAACAAGTGTTTTAAAATCAAATGTTTTAAAAATATTTTTAGAAAGTATACTGTTATTTTATTTGTGGAGACAATCTATGTAGGATTACCTGGTTATGCTGGTATCAACAATTGTTTTAGTAACAAAACATGTATGCCCCAAATTTCATGCTTTATGATTGGATTTCATTCTAAAATATATCTAGAAGAGGATTGATTTGGGTAGATAGAAAGATTGAACTTTTTCCCCCTTAAATATGGCTACTCTTTGAGGTATATAATGTAGTCTGTATGAACGGGTAACTGAACTCACTTTTTGGACTGATTTATCATTCAACATGTGTCACAGCTTAGTGACACTTTTACCAGTGATTTTTACAGCCTTACTACAGTTGTACCCACATGAGTTTTGGCATCACGGGAGCACAATCCATGTATACAAGACTTCTTTCCCTGCTATCTTGATTGAATACAACTAAACTTGATTCAGAATTATCTGAATCACTTGTTCCCTGTCTTTCTTAGGTTGCAAAAGTGAGACACTTGCGTCTCAACCCAATTCACATGGCTGGGCTGCATGCTTCCATCTTGCAGGGAGATGTCAGGTTCCCGAGGTTTTCCTGCACCCCATAGAGTTTGCCCTCCCACACTTTAAAGGCTTCACTTTTGTGCATTGTACAACTTGATTTTCTGTGCACACTTTCTTTTGCGTCCAAGTAAATTTTCCAGAAAGAAGCCCCTGATCCTTTGGAAAGGAGATTGCCTACTTTAGGCAACTTTAAAGCAACTCTTGCTAAACGGAAATTCCCATTCATGCAGTTGTTCACATAGAAAGTTTCAGGTTGCATTAGGTTGTACAGAATGTATATACTCTCTCCACACATGAAAATAGTATAAACACGCTCAGAATTTAAGATGCAACCTTTCTTAAGTAGTGTTAGTTATTAGCTACATAATTAAATATATGAAAATTAAACTATGTAATTATATGCATAAAAAATACTCCTAAACTTGAGCTTTGTAAAACATATAAAGAAACACATAGATTATGAGTCATTGCTTTTAGAAAAATTATAGTAGTGAGTATACTATTGGGTCTTACTTATGGCCAGCCCCGCACTGGTTTATAGAGTGGGTTTTTGGAAACCACCTCCATGATAGACAGTCCTTTTTGTTTGCCGAGCAGTTTCTAGACTCTCAGGGTACAATTGTAAGGATGTGAGGATGCTGACCCAGTGACATTGGAGGCCTCCTCATACATCACTAAAGAATGCTCTGGCAAAGGGGCTGGGTTTTTGCATCCCTGTATCTAGCCGTCATTGACCACAGTCTGCTCCATGGATGAGGGCGTACACTTGGGTGAGGGAGACAGCCCCCTACAGTTACAGGAATTCCCAGTGAGGGGAGCAGCAGAGTGGTCAGCAACCTCTGTTCCCAACACCTGTGACAGAGGAATAGGGGGAGCTATGTAGTGCCCCATCATATCTATCACATCTATAAATTCGGTTAATCTTGTAATGTTATAATTAATCTCCCTCCCATCCCTTCAGTTTTTTGCAAGTGACAAAGAGAGGTGAAGTAACCTATGGAGTGAGTTCCTGAGTTGTGATTCAAACCCCAGTAGGCTGTGCTCTTAGCTCCTGTGCTTTACTGCCTCCATGATGAGCATCAGCCAGATCCTCAGTCTGTTTTGAGGAATGGCAGAAAGACGATGGGCAGGTAGTCTGTTGTTGTTGTTAGCTGCTGCCTATTTGGCCCCGAATTCACGGTGACCTCATACACAATGGAGTGAAACATTTCCCAGTCCTGTGCCAGAATCCTGGTCAGTTGGGAATGGCACCGTTACAGTCCATCAGATGTTTGTTGACTCGTTTTCTGAAGTAGATCTCCAGGCCTTTTGTTGCCCTTAGCCATCTGAATCTGGAGCCTCGGCATCAACCCGTTCAGCAGCAGAGGAGCATATGAGCCTCCAATAACAGATGGCGACTGAGTAGGAGGGACATTAGCCAGGAATTACACTTTGGCCTTTTGCATGGAAGACAAGACTTTTATCACTAATGTCTTAGAACCAACTGTTCACAAGTTTATTTCAATCCATCAGACCCTGTGTGGCGTATTAGAGTACAACTATACCCTGTAGGGTTTTCGGTGGACATTTTTTGGAAGTAGGCCACTGGGTCTTTTTGTCAGGCCATCTCTAGTGGATGCAAACATACAACTTTTCCCGTTAGTGGCTGAGCATGCTAACATTTACATCACTGAAATCTCCACCCAAAGCAAGCAAAATCCTTATCATTGAATGTTTTGTCTCTAGTGAAATCTTTTACTATACTTCGAAGTACTTCAGAGTTTTCTCACTATTACTTTGATGTGGAGACTACATGGTTGTTCCGGACATTGACAGTACATCTTTGTTTTCTTCTTTGTGCACTTTCAGACTGTCATTTTGGGATCGTTCCTAATTGCACATGGGTTCTTCACTGTCTATGCAATGTGTATTGACACGCTGTTCATCTGCTTCTGTAAGTATTCCGGGTTTCTCCCCACTCAGGGCTGCAACCGAAAGGAACAAGAGGCTGAGACCCTGTTCTTAGTCGGCTGTGTATTTGCTAGGGCCTGGGTACAAGTGAAAGACAGTGTTGTTAAGCGAATACTGCATAGTAGATGCTCTTAAAACCTCAACAGCTGAGAGAATGGGGTTTGCAAGGCACAATCGGCTATCATAGGAATCTGTGGCTTCATGACATGGTGCTAGCATGAAACTTTTTTTTCATTTCTTTGTACTTTCACCTTTACATTCATGATGGGTTTTTATTATGATGTTTAACAGAACTAAGGCTATAACTAAGCCTTAGAAACTAGTTTACCTGAGGAGAGCCTTTGCAATTCCGATAAAGTTAAATAGCTTGGGTTTTAAAGGCACCTGGGTTGACTCCCATTAGGCAGCACAATAGCAAACATGACAGAGTCAGAGAAGAGCAGGTCTATGAAGTGACTGGGTTGGTTCTGATTCTTATCCTGTCAAGATTTTTTTCATGTTCCCTCACTAATTTATACACTGTGCCACTAAGTAGTAAATGCAACTCACATAGAATGAATATGTTTACTTTTAGAACTGCAATCTTAAAACCTAGTGCTGCTTGGGAGCTTGAGCTGACCCTGACCTTGGCCAACATAGAGAGGGTAGAATCAGTTGATGAAAGAACGGAACTTGTTAGCCTAAAGCTAAGCACCCAAAGAAACTCTTTTCAGGACACATTACTATTAAGAACAGCAGAGAAAAAGTAACTATTACAAGACATTATTGAATGATTCACTTTTATGAAAGTTTTTTTTTTTTTAGAGTTTTCCGGAGCACCAACATTACATTAGGATCAGAAGAGAAAATACTAACCAAACAGAGCTATATCCAAGTCAGAATATATTAGAGAGGAGTCTGGCCTTTTTCCCTGAGGCTTTCTACCCCCTTAAAGAGTTACACCCTCAGAAACCCACAGGGGCAGTTCAACCCTGTCTTATAGGGTGGCCATTAATCGGTGTCAACTGGGTGGCAGTGAGGGAAGGAGTGTGTGATGTAAAAAAATCTATTTTCAATAACTGGACAAAGAAATAAGAAGAATTACGTTCACTTGTTAGTTCTTTCTTTACTTGCCTGCAAATAGCGTTGTATCGTAGAATCTTCTCCCCGTGCCTTCATGGTCTCCTACAAAACCCCACATGGACAAACTACAGCTCAAGTATGGGGAAGAACAACAGGGCTCTCTAGCACAGAGATCTCATCTCTCATTTGCAATTCTAAACTTGGAGCAAGACTTACAAATCCCACTGATGAATGTATTCCAATTTCCCCCCCAAGATATTTCATAATATGTGTACTGGTAAGATAGAGGGCTATCCATCCATCTGCTTAGTGGTGTGAATCAGCCAGACACTCTGCAGAAGGAAAATTAAAACTGTCTGCTCCTGTAAACATTAGCCCTTCTGGAAACCCAAGGGTTGTCCTAGCGGGTTTCTGTGGGTCAGGATTGACAAAATGGCAGTGGATTTGATTGGGTAATCACAGGAAATATTCAGATAGCTACAGTTGCTAGTCTTTGGAAGTCTTGGCAAATTATAAATTAGCAATAGATTTTAAATATGGGCAGTATGAAATGTTTTCCACCCCTCTTTATTATTCAGTTAGCAACTTTATTCAAAACCAGGTGCAATTTTAGCTTTATTCAACACATTGAGTGTTGAACATGACTAATTTTCTTCCTGAGACTATTGATTTTTTTATAATAAAGACCAAGGGAAACCATATTGTATTTTTATTCCCCTTTTTATTATTATTATAAGTTACATTTTTACCTAGCCTATTATATTATCTTGGATGTAAGAAAGCTTTTTTAAACCTTTGTAAATATAAACATATATAAGTGATTATTAAACACTTGTAATAAAAATATTGATCCTTTTAATTTATAAGGCACTTAGAATACTGGACCCTGGGTGGAGAAAAAACAATAGTTGTACTTAATGATTAAGGTGATCCAAACCACATTACCTAACAATACTTCAATGTAATAATAATGATACTGGCTATATAAATATGATTAAGGACAAAAGAACAAAAATGTTCCATGTTCATCATATACCTTCTGAAGCTTTTCATCTTGTAGGTGAAGAAGGTCATTATGAGATCTAATATAAAAATCTATTAAACTAGTAAGTCAACTGTTCCCTAAAATGTATGATGACTAATAAGTTATATTTACCTTGTGAATCTCTGATGATCCTATATGGCCTTCATATGCTATTTCTTCATACACTATTTCTTTATGAAGTCGTAATAAATAAACGCAACAAGTGATATACAGTGAACCCTCGTTTATCGCGGTTAATCGGTTCTAGACCCTACCGTGATAAATGAAATTCCGCGAAGTAGGATTCCTTATTTGTAAATCAAA